ATACGACACACCCACAGCAAACATCATTCTCAATGGTGAAAAACTGACAGCATTTCCTCAAAGATCAGGAACAAGACAAGGATGTCCACTCTCGCCACTATTTTCAACATAGTTTTGGAAGTCCTAGCCACGGCAATCAGAGAAGAAAAAGAAATAAAAGAATACAAATTGGAAAAGAAGTAAAACTGTCACTGTGTGCAGATGACATGATACTATACATAGAGAATCCTAAAGATGCCACGAGAAAACTACTAGAGCTTATCAATGAATTTGGTAAAGTTGCAGGATACAAAATTAATGCACAGAAATCTCTTGCATTCCTATACACTAACAATGAAATATCAGAAAGAGAAATTAAGGTAATAATCCCATTCACCACTGCAACAAAAAGAATAAAATACCTAGGAATAAACCTACCTAAGGAGGTAAAAGACCTGTACTCAGAAAACTATAAGACACTGAGGAAAGAAATCAAAGATGACACAAACAAATGGAGAGATATACCATGTTCTTGGATTGGAAGAATCAACATTGTGAAAATGACTTTTCTACCCAAAGCAACCTACAGATTCAATGCAATCCCTATCAAATTACCAATGGCATTTTTTACAGAACTAGAACAAAAAATCTTAAAATTTGTATGGAGACACCAAAGACCCCAAATAGCCAAAGCAGTCTTGAGGGAAAAAAACGGAGCTGGAGGAATCAGACTCCCTGACTTCAGAATATACTACAAAGCTACAGTAATCAAGACAATATGGTACTGGCACAAAAAGAGAAATATAGATCAATGGAACAGGATAGAAAGCCCAGAGATAAACCCACGCACCTATGGTTGACTAATCTGTGACAAAGGAGGCAAGGATATACAATGGAGAAAAGACAGTCTCTTCAATAAGTGATGGTGGGAAAACTAGACAGCTACATGTAAAAGAATGAAATTAGGGCTTCCCTGGTGGCGCAGTGGTTGAGAGTCTGCCTGCCGATGCAGGGGACGCAGGTTCATGTCCCGGTCCAGGAAGATCCCATATGCCGCGGAGCGGCTGGGCCCATGAGCCATGGCCGCTAAGCCTGTGCATCCGGAGCCTGTGCTCCGCAACGGGAGAGGTCACAACAGCGAGAGGCCCGCGTACCGTTAAAAAAAAAAAAAAGGAATGAAATTAGAACACTCCCTAACCATGCACACAAAAAAACCTCAAAATGGATTAGAGACCTAAATGTAAGACCAGACACTATAAAACTCCTAGAGGAAAACACAGGAAGAACACTCTTTGACATAAATCACAGCAAGATCCTTTTTGACCCACCTCCTAGAGAAATGGAAATAAAAACAAAAATAAACAGAGGGGACCTAATGAAACTTAATAGCTTTTGCAAAGCAAACTACAAACAAGACAAAAAGACAACCCTCAGAATGGGAGAAAATATTTGCAAACGAATCAACGGACAAAGGATTAATCCCCAAAATACATAAACAGCTCATGCAGCTCAATATTAAAAAAACAAACATCCCAATCCAAAAATGGGCAGAAGACCTAAAAAGACATTTCTCCAAAGACATACAGATGGCCAAGAAGCACATGAAAAGCTGCTCAACATCACTAATTATTAGAGAAATGCAAATCAAAACTACAATGAGGTATCACCTCACACCAGTCAGAATGGACATCATCAGAAAATCTACAAACAACAAATGCTGGACAGGGTGTGGAGAAAAGGGAACCCTCTTGTACTGTTGATGGGAATGTAAATTGATACAGCCACTATGGAGAACAGTATGGAGGTTCCTTAAAAAACTAAAAATAGAATTACCATACGACCTAGCAATCCCACTACTGGGCATATACCCAGAGAAAACTATAATTCAAAAAGACACATGCACCCCAATGTTCACTGCAGCACTATTTACAATAGCCAGGTCATGGAAACAACCTAAATGCCCATCGACAGACAAATGGATAAAGATAATGTGGTACATATATACAGCGCAATATTACTCAGCCATAAAAAGGAACAAAATTGGGTCATTTGTAGATATGTGGATGGATCTAGAGACTGTCATAGAGAGTGAAGTAAGTCAGAAAAACAAATATCGTATATTAATGCATATATGTGGAACCTAGAAAAATGGTACAGATGAACCGGTTTGCAGGGCAGAAATAGAGATACAGATGTAGAGAACAAACGTATGGACACCAAGGGCGGAAAGTGGTGGTGGGGGTGGGATGAATTGGGAGACTGGGATTGACATGTATACACTAATGTGTATAAAATGGATAACTCATAAGAACCTGCTGTATAAAAAATAAATAAAATAAAATTCAAATATTAAAAAAAAAAAAAGAAGAAGAAAGACACTGGCCCAAAGCCTACAAGGAAGGAAGTTATCTGGAGGAGAAGCTTTAGCTAAGTTTTAACTTGCATATGTTGTTTTCTTTACTAAAATCAACCCCATAGGGAAATACACTACAGTCTGGGCTTTGTTGATGTTGTTTTCCTCCACAGATTCTTCCTTCTTTTTGCAGAAATAGGATTATGGCTCAAGTCATTTGAAAGCCTCTCCAGGAACCTGTATTCCAAAGAGAAGACTCCATATGAGGAACATCAGAGAAAGAAGTTACTTGTCTATCTTTGGTAACGTTCATCCAAAACACCTTTCATTCTGTCAGTGGATAAGACCCCTCAACTAACAGAGCAAATTCATTTACAGGGAGGTAATAAATTGAAATAAACATTTTATTTAGTTTCTTGTCTGTCTCTAAATCTGTTTCATTAGGGAATTTACAGCACACCATTGTCACATAACCTCCCTATTTCTCTTTTCTTGATTCAACTCTAGTCCTATAGCAATGCAGGTAAAGACTTAATTTTTAGAAGTATAGGAATTATCCTAATTTATATAATACTAGTAAACATTCTAATTACCTTTTAAGCCTTTTATTTTAAAGTATATTTGATTTACAATGTTGTGTTAGTTTCTGGTGTATAGCAAAGTGATTCAGTTATACATATGTATCGATACATATATTCTTTTCCATTATGGTTTATTACAGGATATTGAATATAGTTCCCTGTGTCTGTTAAGCAATTTAAACACACTGTATCCTTTTGCTTCATATTCCCCAGTTGGACTGCAAAGCTTGGGACTGGGTCATATATTTTTCCTGTAACCACTGAGTGCCCAGCACTGGAATAGGCAGATACCAAACCACCAATTAGGTGACAGATTTAAGTCAGTCCCTAACTTTTCTATACCAAAATAAACATATTCTGAGTGCCAGTTTTATGTGAAGCATTCTATTACTTGTCATGAAAGATTCAGAGAAGTATGTGATCGACCATGGACACAAGAGCATACCTTTTATCCTCCTTGGCCTAATGCATCTTACTAGTGAAGAACTACCTTTGATGCTATTTCTTTACCTAAATCATCTGTCACACTCTAAGTGCCATTTTTTTGATTAAATACTTTTAATTCTACATATCAAATGACAACACTTTTTCAACATCTTTTTAAAAATTAATTATATTTCTTGGCTGCATTGGGTCTTCATTGCTGTGTGTGGCCTTTCTCTAGTTGTGGTGAGCGTGGGCTAATCTTCGTTGTGATGGGCGGGCTTCTCGTGGTGGATTCTCTTGTTGCGGAGCACAGGCTCTAGGCGTGCGGGCTTCAGCAGTTGTGGCACACGGGCTCAGTAGCTGTGGCTCGTGGGCTCTAGAGCACAGGCTCAGTAGTTGTGGTGAACGGGCTTAGTTGCTCCGCGGCATGTGGGATCTCCCTGGACCAGGGCTCGAACCCATATCCCCTGCATTGGCAGGTGGATTCTTAACCACTGCACCACGAGGGAAGTCCCTCATATGACAACTTTTGAAAGTAATTTAAGCATACTTAAAATGCCAGAAAAAATGACACTACCATACGGCTCAACCATAAATATGGCTTCCCTCCATAAACACCTATACCTCATAACCAGAGAACTAGATTCCAGGAGAGTTTCGAGAGAATTCTAAATGTTAAGCCCATAAGCTAGAATTTTATTTCTTTGCATTGCTGACTCTATTCATGAGTCTACTCTTCTATTCGCTGTGAAATAACCATCCTCAAACACAATTTTCAGTAGCTGCCTTAAAGAAAACTACCAGCCCCTGCTATTTCAGATGAAACCCATATCCAAAGCACTCCCGACTCTTCATTTCAATCCCACACTCGCCCCAACCTCACCCCTCCCGAGCCCCACCCCACCCTCATTACACACACCAGCCAAGAACTTTGAGCTCAATCATAACCCTTTGTGCTTCTGCCTAAGCCTGCCTTCCTTCCTCGAATACCATCCTTTCCGTCCTGGCCAATTTCTGTACATACACCACCTCACTTTAAGTGGCTGCTCAAAACACATTTCCTTATGCAAGCGTTCTATGATTTTTCTCACAGTTTAAACATTTACCTAATATGTTATGTGTCAGATACTTTTATGTAATTTTGCTTATCTCTCTTGTCTTAACCAATTTTGAGTGTCAGCTCTGGTCTCCTCTCCCCAGCCCTGGTCACAGCCTCACTAGGACCCTCGACACTTGAACATGGTCAGATGTCTACTGGCACCGTATTTTCAGTAATTTGCTATCCTGAATGAACTGCAGTCCTAAAGCAGACATTTTTGGTGAAATACATAGCCCGAGGACAGGATTCCGGATAAGCCCTGGCCGCAGAAGTCAGCTCAGTGAATGGAGGTGGGGGACTAATCCTTGGGGAGGCTGACAGGACAGCTGGGGAAAAAGGGCAGGTGGAAGTGGAGGCTAGAGGACTGGGATAGACTAGAGGGTTGGTCGAATGGCGTTTCAGGAGGTCTGGGGGAGTTGTCCCAAGGAAGGCCCTCTCGGAGCCCGGGAACGAGACGGGACAGGTCCGACTCACCCATGGGTTGGGGAAAGTGGAAGGACACGGAACCGAAGAGCAGGTCACGGTAGCGTTGGAAGGCCTCGTCGAGGACGGAGCAGCCTACCTGCGCGGCCGAACTGACGTGGTACTGGAATTGGAAGGTGTGCGGGAAGATGGCGTAGCTCTGCTCGGAGGTTTGGATGTACTGGGGCCATGGCCACAGGGCCGTCGCCCGCCCCGCGAACGCTGCCGCCAGCAGCAGCGAAAACCAGAGCGCGGAGCCTGCCATAGCCCGCCGGTCTCCTCTCCCCCAGCGGGCCGGGCCACGTGACACCCTGGTCAGGTGAGCCGCCCCCGCGTGATAACAGGCGCGTCACGTGACCGGAGGCAGCTCTTCATCGGCGACCCCGGAAGACGGATTACCAGTCCCTGCAGTCCCGGCGTGAGCCGGGAGCTCCTGTGGCGTGCAGTGGTTGGGGCGGGGTATCGGTGATGGTTCAGGTGCAGGCGGTTCACGGGCCTGGTGGAGCAGTAACTAAATGCACCACCGCAGGTGTCAAGCCTGCGGTCACAGAACTTTAAGCGCACCAGAGGGTAGAAGCCCCACGTGGGGAGGCTGAGTGGGCGAGCGAGAAAGGAAAGTTTCCCGAATCGTGAACACGGAATAAGGGCTCGTGAGGCCTGCTGGGAGGTAAAGGACGGCCCAGGCCCAGGGAACTTAAACAAAAAAATGGAGGCTTAAAAGCACAGCTCCTTTTGATGCTGTGGGTCAGAAAGGGTCTGGAATTAGGTAGTGAGAATGGCTCAGCTAAAGAGGGCATTATAAGATCACAAAAATGGGATCTACTTACGACTGGGGAAAAAATGTGTACTTTCACGGCAAGCTTGAGGCGTCCCATTTCCAGCCTCTAGTGTAGGCTCTTCCTTTAATGGTTGATAATCTCCTAGTAACCGCCCCCAGATCCTCTCCTCGCAGACAAAACTCCGCGAAAGGTAGGTCCTGTACTTACTGCAAGCAGTAAGACATTGCTTGAACTTTGGGTGCAAGTTCGACAATACCCAGAGATAAGACAGGTCTTATACCCAGAGAGAAGTTCCGCAGGGGTTTACATAGAAGTCCGAGAGTCAGGACTTAATTTTGTGGGCAATTGAAAATCAGCCCAAAGATTTGCATTTTAGAAATCTCATGTTGAATAGTCGGATGGATAAGAAACCAGTTAGGCAGAGCTTTTCTTTTTTTTTTTTAATTGGAGGTGGAAGATAATAAGACCTTGAACTATAGCAGTGGGAAAGGAAGAGAGCTGTAGATCCAGAAAATAGTGGATCTGCTCAGAAGCAGAGGGGTTAATACACGAGAGGCTTGAGGGCTGATCAGTGAGAACACAGTTACTTACTGAGTCAGGGACCCTGTCTTCCTTGCTCACCACTATATTATCAGAGCACAGTACCAGGAGAGAAGTAATTTACATAGAAGAGTCACAAAATGAAGGAACTGGACCCAAATAAAGAGACTGTAAAAATTACTAATGAAAATACTTAGAGATTATTGTTGAGAGAATATTCCAAACATATTATTCCAGTTATCCTCTCTCTGACAGTATGTCAATCAGAAAAGTAATGAACAACCATTAAAAGTTAAAAAAAACATCATAATACAAGTAAATGTTCAGAGCCTAGCATAGAAATAGTAGCAAAAATTAAAATGAAGTTATTTAACATTATAAACTGTTTAGATTCGTATATACACAACATTGCCATCAATTTTGACAGTAGATGAATAACAAAAATAATGACACAGATAATATATAGTATATAATATCTGGTTGTTTTCTCTGTTTTTCTGTTTACTAAAGACAACTTGTTAAATGAATAAAACATGATTTAATTTCCGTTATCTATAGCATCTAATAAAATTACATATCAGAAAAAGAATTCACTGTCAGACAATGTGTCCAGATTTTTGGTTCATAAAGTAGAGTCATCAGCGTAGGAGAGAGGAGGGAATGACTAATTTTGCCTGGGGAAGTCTTTCAAAGAGGAAGTGGCTTGAGCTGGCTTCCAGAACATGAGTTGGCAGGGAAGGGGAGCATGGGCAAAGCGTAGAGGTGTGGATGAAGATGGCATATTGAGCATAGGGTTTGGGGGGATAGCAAGGTGAAAATGTGCCGTGATTATCTCACTTCTACCATATTCCCTTCTCCTTGGAATGCCTTGCCCACCTCCCACTCCCACCACTTACTTGAAGGTCTAAAGTTAAATTTTACCATCCTGTAAATCTCTGACTTCTCACGCCTGGGTAAGATCCCATAGCCCTCTGAGCTTATCTCCATCAGAGCACTTACCTCAATATTGTAATTGCCTGTCCATTTGTCTGTATCCCTTAAGTAAAAGTTCCTTAAAGGCAGGTTCTGTGTTCACTGTTGTATTCCTAGCCCTGGGCACAGTGTCTGGCACATAGTAGATTCACTAAATAAGTAGAAAGTATTTATATAATAAAATATTTATATAATAAAGTATTTATATAATAAGTATTTAGTAGATTCACTAAATAAGTGAAAGGCCCGGAATATCTCTTCTCCTATTTAGCATCTACTTATCCTTCAGGTGTTAGCCTAGACCAGACCAACAAGTATGTTGTGAATGGAGTACCAGTGTGTTGAGACAGTGACCACTCCCTCCCCTCAATCCTTGGGGTGGCCAGGCAGAGCCTGGGGTAGCTAGACATCCTGGTCAGTCATCTCCAGCCAAGAACAAACACCTGTGTGTGCTCTGATGTGAGAAACTCTGGGAAGCACTTAGACATCTCCTCTAGGATGTTTCTTTATGGCACCCTCATTGCAGCCTCTTTACTTGTCCATGTTCTCCACAGACGACATGCTGAATGAGTGGCATCTTTTCCACAGTTGTATCCTTACTGCCTGAGTCAAGAATCTGCACATAGTAAGTGTTCAGCAAGTATTTGTTGAATGAATGAGGAAGCATTTGTATTAAATTTTGAAAGACAGAATTTCATTGTGTAGGGGAAAGAGCAATCCATGGAGAAGAACTGCAGTCTAGAAAGAAAACTCCATCTAACTTGTTCACTTTAAGATCCCCAGGTTCTGGAACAGCACCTGGCACATCATAGTCATTTAATGGATATTTTTGAATGAATAGAATGAAATGGCAAACGAACCTAGGCAGAGATCTCTGAAGAATCTGGTGTGATACCAGGGATGTGAGCAATTCTGTTTTACTAGAACCAATAGTGCATAAAGAGAAATACGGATAAAAATAATTTTAGAAAAAGTAAGTTGAAGCTGGGTAATGAAGTAAGGAAAGGAGGAAATTATTGATCAAGGTACTGTGTACTAGATACATGTTATCTTCTTTATCTCTCACAACAACTGTGTGAAATTGAGTATCATCTACATTTTACAGATGAGGAAGCAGGCTCTGATAATTAAAATAACTTGACCAAGGCCCCATAGATAGTTGTCAGAACCAGTATTTGGACCCAGGTCTTCTACGCCAAAATCTATTGCTTTTACATCTATCATACTTCCTTGAAAGCTAGTCTGAAGATTGTATTGGGATTTTACTCTTGAGTCTGTGGGAAGCTAGTGAAATTTCTTTAACTGAAGAGTGACAAGACCAGAGCTGAAATTGGCTAAGATTAATCCGTTAACGTATATAGGAGGAATCAAATGGGGAAAGCCGTGTGCAGGTAGATTGGGGCTGGGGCTGAGGCTGAGGTTGAGGCTGAGCCTGTTGGCTCAGAGCTCTCTAAAACAACCTGACCATTCTCACATGCTATGGGGCTCAGGAAATGCAGACCCCAATTCACCTGAGATCGATGGCTTCATTTTTCCTCTTCCACATCGGCTAGCCAGACCAGTGAGACTTAAGCTTTGTTTAATTTGTCAAAGTTTACAGAAGTGGAGATGGTCCAAATTATCTATGCTCCCTGACTCTCTTTAGACCCATCGCAATTCACGTGGAGCCATCCCTACCTCTGCTGTACCCTGTTACCTCCAGCTCCTCCCATGCTGTTTCCAGAATTACAGAATGCTACCCAATTTACCACTACTAAACATGTACAGCATTCCTTGGGGATACTAAAAATATTTCTGTGTCCAGTTTATCTTTTCTTCGAGCCTTATCCCCTCTTCTCTCCTATTTAGTCGTATAACTATTCTAGTTATCTTTTCAGGCTTACTCCCTAATTCTTTTTTGGTTGCACCAGGTCTTAGTTGCAGCAGGCAGGCTCCTTAGTTGTGGCTCGTGGGCTCCTTAGTTGCGGCAGGTGGGCTCCTTAGTTGAAGCTTGTGGACTCCTTAGTTGTGGCATGCGAACTCTTAGTTGCGGCATGCATGTGGGATCTAGTTCCCTGGCTAGGGATCGAATCCAGACCCCCTACTTTGAGAGCGTGGAATCTTAACCACTGCGCCACTGGGGAAGTCCCTCCCTAATTCTTAACAACTTTCCCTAACTCTAGACATACATTTCTTGCAATAACTGGCCTTGTCCTATATCTATCCAATCCTAGCCTACACATAGACTTTAAAAAAAAAATTGCCTGGATATTTACACAGGTGGTTTTCTATGGTCAGATAATTAGAAAAACTAAAGCCCTGAGGGAACTTTCAATAGATCTGATGGGACTTCCCTGGTGGTCCAGTGGTTAAGACTGTGCTTCCAATGCAGGGGGCTCAGGTTCAATCCCTGGTCAGGGAACTAAGATCCTGCATGCCACGCAGCATGGCCAAAAAATTTTAAAAAACAAAACAGATCTGAGCAAAAGGAGTGACAGTGGGAAAGGGGGATATGGGTCAAATGCAGTAATGTTTCAGATACAAAATGACAGAACTCAGCAACTAACTGGGTGAAGTAGGGATGGGGTCAAGGGAAAGAGGAGAGGAAAAGGTGTACCAGTCTGGTTTCCTGAGGGAATCATGGTGCCATTAACTGAATACAAAAGGAAGAGCCAGTTTTGGAAAAAAGATAATGAGCTCTGAGACATGCTGCTTTGGAGGAGGTGGAAGAACAGCGGAGTTGGAATGTCCAGCAGAGCCAAGGAAATACAGGCTGGGAGCTCAAAAGAGAGCTCTGGGCATCGTCTGCTCAAAGATGACAGTTGAGATCATATGAAATAGTCAAGGGAAAAAGGAAGGAAGGTTAAAAATTAGGGGGAAAGAGGACTTTGGTGAGAGAGAAGTTTGTGAGGGACAAAAGGAGCACAGAGGAGG